CATTATCAGCTGGAGGTGTTGAAGCATGTAGTGGCTCGTCTCGCCCGGATTGGGCAGGAGCAGCAGATATGGTCTTGCCACTCCTGGTAGTGATGGCGTCCAGCTGCTGGTGAGGTTGACGAGGGTTCAGAATAGTGGTGGCAGGCAGAGTTCCCGGTGCCCTGGTAGTGTTTTGGCGAGCTAAGCTCCCAATCTGATTCTGTAGATCTTGCAGAATGGCACCTTGGTTTCTCTGGCTTGCCTCCAGTGAGGCTATGTTCTGTTCCATCTTCGTGAAATTTGCCTGGCTGGTGGTCATGAATGCCTGCAAAATATTTTTCAGATCCGTCATCTGGTTATTTGGAGCTGCAACTGCCGGAGGCTGGGCATACTGACGCTGGGGCTGCTGGAATGGTTGCCCCTGCCTAGGCTGGTAGGGCTGCTGCTGTGGTGGTGGCCCTTGCCTAGCCTGGAAGGGCTGCCTCTGCTGAAAACCACCCGCTGGTGCTGGGGAACCAGGTGGTTTAGTGGTGTTGCTGGTCCAGGCAAAGTTGGGATGCTGGCGCCACCCCTCATTGTATGTATTGCTATATGGGTCAAGGCGCCAAGCATTGGCGATGAAGTCCACCTGTTCTTGGGGAGTAGAGGACTCCCGCATAGCCTGGCAGTCCTCCACCAGATGATTCGGGCTCTCACACCACTGACACTGAGCTACTGGAGGCGTAGCTGTACCTCGGCCCGGAATAAGACTGTTGGGCTGCTTCAATGTCTGCACCAACTCAGCCACCTGCTGCTCGAGCCCGTACCTGGCCTCCATGGCGTGCACACCACGGTCCCGGGAATTTCTGCCTCTGTTGCTCTGCCCCCAGGAGTGATCTCTGGCAGCCAAGGTACTGATCATCTTGTTCAACTTGGGTGGAGTCTTAGTGAGAATATCCCCTCCTGGGCATAGAGACTCAATCACCCGCTGGCTGTCCGGTGAGAGAGCACTGTAGAAGTTCCCCACTGTGAATGTATCACTGAAACCATGATGGGGACACTGCCAGAAATATCCCATGTATCGCTCCCAAGCATCACGAAGTGACTCGTCTGGCTCTTGCAGAAGTGAGTGATCTCCCGCTGGATCTTTGTGATCTTCGATACTGGGTAGTACCTGTGCACGAACTTGTCAGCCAGATCATCCCAAGAAGTGATGGACAATGGGGGCTGGGTCTCCAACCACCTCTTAGCATTCCCCGCCAGAGAATGGGGGAAGAGGTGAAGGCGGATTGCATCATCAGGGATACCGCTCAGCTTGAACCAGTTCGTCAGCTGCAGAAAACGGGACAGATGCACCCTTGCCTCCTCATCCTTCAAGCCATGGAACTGGATAGAGGATGTAATGAGTTGAATCCAGCATGGCTTGATCTCGAAGTTGTTTGCTGGAATGGGCGGATAGAGGATGACCGGGCGGATGTCAGCAATCCGTGGAGTGTAGTAGTACTCCAAAGTGGGACCCGGTGGTGGTGGGTGATGATGAACCCCATCTGCCTGGGGTATGGGGTTGTTCCCCAAGAGCTGATTCATCGGGGGAACCTGGAGAGGATTCCTCGGGGGTGGGTTGTGTTCTCCTTCCATCACGTATTCGTCCTCGGACTCGCTGCTCAAATGGCCGTCTATGCACTCCGTCGTAGCCAGTCTAGCTCGCTGTTGTCTCCTGAGTTGGCGACAGGTGCGTTCAATCTCTGGATTCAACGGCAGTAAACCTCCCGACTGGCTACGGGTCATGCACTACCTGCACACAATCAATCAAGCAAACCCGTGAAGGCACAATTGGGAAAGAACAAACAGTCAATGCGAAAACGAAAGTGCTAAAGTAACAGAAATCACTTTTCTTCAACAACCTAGCCGTCCCCGGCAACGGCGCCAAAAACTTGACTCACTCCTACTGTCACTCTAGAAATTGGCCAAGTATAACCACTTTCTAAAGCGTTGTATAGCGGGTTTGGGTTTTAATGTCAACCCGGGTCCTAGATTTGATGACTACTCGGTGAATTCTTGTTATCTAGCAATGAAACTTTAGTGCAGGTCCAAATTAACAAACAAACAAAGCAAGTAAACGGTTGTTTTCAGGTTAAGAGAGGTCACCCGGATATGGTTCCCCCTAGACTGCAGTTAAGCCGGATTGCAATTTACCAAGTTCAGTTTCCATGAAAGTTATACTGCGGAAGGTTCTTAAACAGGCTGAAGTCTCGACTAAAGGTCTTCAGACCCTCTCAATCTGAGTCTCCAGCGGGCGACTAACCTCCACCGGAGTAAACAGATTGAGGCCCTAACGAACCAAACCTCCACTACCGAATTGAATTCGGTACAGAATAGCGAATTGGCTCCTCGACTAAAGTCACCAATTCGCCACCTTCAATTAAGGGTGCTCTATCAACCTAGGCAGATATTCTCGTTCTAGGTTAAAGCAGAAACGACAGGAATTTGATCAGGATTCAAGTCATTCAATCATTCAAGCCTCATCGAATATAATCAACTCATGAAATCTGTACTTGGGTTCATACAATTAGACCTAACATACAAATCTAGGGTTCTCCATACCCAGATGAATGGGAGAACTACTCCATGGAGAAAGAAGCAAAAAAAGATTCAGACGCGGAAATTAAACTGTGAAGGATGACTTTCAGCTCCTGGTTGTCAATCGACACTTCTCCAAGCTCAAGCCGGGCTCCAATGGTGATGAAGATCAAGCTATGGTACTTGGGAACTCTTGTTCGTCGCTTTCTCTCTCTAGGAATCGCTCTATCTCTCTAAAACTTGACTCCCTTGATCTTTGGCCTTCTTTTCCTTTAAAACTGCTGCCTGTCGTGATACCTGGTCGGGTATTTTGGGTTCGACCGGGTATAATTGAAACGTGCGTTTTGCCTCAGGGAAAAATCCCCGGTCTAAGCCAATAATCCCCGGTCGGGGATTTTTGCCTCCAGCTCGGGACCCCTTCTATTTCTCACGGACGCCAAAACCGAGAATCCTCGGTCATGGCCAGATAATACCCGATCGGGTATTTTTGCTCTCTAGCACACTTCAACCCAACGTCGCTCCTTTCGACCCAAAACTCGTTTCCTCGCCTCGATTCCAATGCCGGGTCCTGAAATACGACATAAACACACAACCTCGCGTGAAATCGGCTTAAAAAACGAGAGTCAACCTCTCAAACGGCTCAAGAATAGGGGTAAAAACATGTGTAATTATTGGTCTATCACTTACTCATCCACTGGCTCCCTCACGTATTTTAGGATAACTTTGTGCAACCTTTTATCCTACTCGGTTTTTCCAAGACCACTAATAAAGGGATCTTGTCTTTTTTTGGAGGGCCTCTTCTTCCTTGCTTTTTTTGGTGTTTTCAACATGCTTCCGTTTCTTTGACCTTGAAATCTTTCCATCCTCCTCCTCATGCTCCTCCGCATTTGCAAACATAACAAACGTACCATAAAAGTCACCATCTATACATCAATAAGATGAAGCTTACCACAAAATCCTGTAGTAATCTTCAACCATGAAGGCAAAAGTCACCTTTTTGTGTCCTCCTCAGGCTTGTCGACATCAACGACTTGAGTTTTATTTCGCATAATTTCTTCAGTGCACTGTTTCTCAGTTTCTTCAACATTGTTCCCTTCTTCACCTTCTTGCAACTAAGGCTTCTCCTCTGTGTTTATTGATTCTTGCAGATGAGTCGAATAGTAAAACAAATCATGCTCACCACATGGAAGATCAAGCATACATTACACTGATAGAGCATATTGCAGCTCACTCAATTGGTTGATTTTTGAATTGTATTCTTCTGTTGCTTTCAGGATGGCCATTCTGTGTTGCTCATAGCGTTCCTTCAAATCGTATGCCTGTAAACAAATTGTAAATAATGTAGAACATTAACCAGCCAATCCACGGGCTATCATTTTGCACATTATAGCATAAAAGTATGAAGCAGACGGCGTGGTAAAACACGGATTAGAGATTATACATATACCTAATATACAATATTGCTCATATGTTCTAGTGTGTGAATCGCACCAAGGTCAATAGGGACATAGGGGAGGTCTGGTAGATCACACTCTCTCTTTATCGTCCTCGTTCATAGCGATATCAGGGAGGCATAGCTAACTGGCTCAACATATGTGTTGAGTTATGTTCCTCCTACCACCTCTTATTCTCCAATGTGAGGTGGCCCTGGTTCAGTAGCTCCTAGAATTGTTGCTTGGAATCTTTATAAAATCTGTGCGTGCAAGTTGACGGAGCCAGGGCATTTGAAGGACTGCAGTTTACTCGGTCAAGAATGGAGTGCTTGGACAAAAGCAATGAAACACATACGAAGTCATACCCAAGTTGTATTAAGTTCACAGCCTACAGGAGACCACAGACTTCGTAAAAGGCATAACAAGGATTCATGAGACAGGCCATAATGTGGAGAAATCATAACAGAAACATAACCAATGTGACGAGAAAGTAGAGATATCAAACCTCAATACCTAATGAAGCACACCAATAACAAGAAAGCACACCACAATTTTCTTTCCCGATGCAAACCATACACAAGTGAACAGGTATGTCGTTAAGCCACTCACAAAAGAAGATGGATGTCTCCCTTGAAAATGGAATAATTCTGCATCGATTCAGACAGACTCTGATTGAAGTGCTCCACAACGTGCTTGCACCAGTTATGTTGTTTGACGTCATTTACCATGTCTGGTTTCAGAAACTTCAAATATGCCAGGACTGCCTTTTGTTTTCCATTAGGGCATAACAGAGGTCCCTCCATTTATTTGGGTTTCTCTCGCTCATCAATTTGGCTCGCACACGCAATAGCTTGGCATTTCCTTTCGAAACATTTGTAAGACCTAATTTCTTTCCCCATCCACTTTTCATCTGTGTGTTGATTCCCCTTGATATGTCAACATTGTATTAACATCATGCTTTGTTATCCTGAATTGACCATAACGAAGGAGATAGAAAGAATGGGTCTCGACGTTGAAGTTGTTCACAACTCACATTACAAACAAATTGGGCATCTTCGTGATCTTGACATTTGCCACATGTTCTATACCAAGCAATCTTAGCTTCTCCAACTTCTCTTCTATTGCATTCTTTGCTCCGATCACCTCCAGTATCCTACTAGGGTTGCATCTGTTGCTTTTGTGATGTGGCAACGAGAACACCTCTTTGCCATCGTTATTACCTTCTTTGGCAAGAGCTTGTGTTGTTGCTTTCATCTTGCATGGCATACTTGTCCCTGTGAAACTTTTTGTCGGTGAGGAATTTCTGAGACTATGACTAAGGTGGTTGCGTTTGCACGGAGGCGGCAGTTTTGTTGGACTACATGAGAGAAACATGAGAGAAACCGTGATCGGGGGGGGGGGGGGGGGGTTTGGTGTGGAACCTGAAGACTCATCGATCATTGTTATGTGAAGAAGATATGGGCTGTTCATTGGGCCCTTGGGTATTTGCTTGGCCCATTTCTGCCCATTTGTCCGGATCAAAGGTGATGGGATGATCGTCCTGTTTTTTGTTTATTTGCTTATAGATATTTTCATTTTTCTTCAATGTAATTATTTTGATAATTTCTTGATATATTTGATTTTGTGGTTATATTTTATCCAGATCTCGACTAATCAAATAATAAGAGTATAGAAAGTTGGGTGTTCATATTTCAACCATCTCATCTTCGACTTTTATATGACCAATACTTGTAGCTTTGAAAGTTGTATAATGTCTTTTATTAGTTTTATCTTTGTTGTATCTAAATGTTCTTCTACTCGATCAGTTTTGCCTATATGGTTCTAAATGTTCTTCAATTTCAATCATAACTTGAATGACTTGGGCAAATGCTTCATGGTATCTTTGGTGGTTACTAAAATGCCACAATGAACTGTAAAATTTTATAGAAAAATATCAATCTCCTAGCCCTTGCTTAACTCCTTGCTCCGTAAATCGGTCGCAGGTTGATCTGATCGGACCCCTTTTGACTGTCATGGCTACCCCCTCACTCAATATAGGCTCCAAGTAGTATAGTCTTTCACGTAATCTTCCCGCGCCAATTACCTTCTTCGAGAGTAAGTCTTGTATCACGCAGAAGTCCCAAAAATCATTTGCACACAATTGAAAACACATATACTTAAAGCCCACCATTCGAATTGTGACAAATCATGCCACCTATAAAACTAGAATCGAATTAGAGATGACAACGGGTCGGGTTGTGGGCGGATAGAGCATATAAGTTACCCTATCCAACGTAGATAAGGTTTTACCCATACCCATACCCACATAACAAACTATACAAAATCAGAACCATGTCCATACACGTTGGGTAATAATTTCTCTTTATAACTCCAACAAATATTCTCACATTACATAGGAGGAAAAGTACAAAGGAAATTCACTAGAATGAAGAAAATTGATTAAAACAACACTAATTGAATATGCATGTGCATAATCGAATATATCATTATAGACACTACATATCTTATCTTAAAGCAACTATGAATGTTGACATTTTTTGTGTCCAATGCAACTCATTGTATAGTTAGTAATGGTTCGTGATCATCATTACGTTTTCTTCAGTACTTCTTCGTAACTCAGGAAAGCCAGTGGATCCATTGCATTCGGGTTGCCTTATCTCCCTAACTTAATAAAGTATTGTAGTTTGAGATTTTGGAATCGTGGCTATTTATTCTTTGTATATTTGTCTGTCATATCTTAAATTTGATGATAAAAACCACCAATTATATTAGAAATATTATTTTAACATGAAATATTGACTGGAATTTGATGAGAAAAATGATGAACGAGTGAGATTGAAAGTATGATTTCTTATTTATTATGGTAAAGAAACGCTGATATATGATTGTCTACTCTATTATTGTTGCGGATCGATTGGAAACTTGAATCCGTTGAATTTAATGAAGGATGGATAGACGGTAAGAATTTCTTGGATATTAGTAAAGCAATTATGTTCAAACTTCAAAGTGAAAGGTAGAAGAAAAGTCGTTCCCTGGTGATTTTAATCAACAGGTTGGGGGCCCTTTAAACCGAACCCGGCTAAGGCCCAACGAATAAATAAGAGGAAGACAACGTTTTGTCTTCCACAGGACAACTGAGACATATGTCATTCTAGGTTTCCATCTCTTATCTTTTCTTCTACTAGGCTTAAATGAAACCTTGAGCCCAACAGAAGAGTAGTTCTTCACTGGCCAAAGGCCATAATACAGTGAAATAAGCAGACGAGAGGAAAGAATCAAAGCAGACATGCACTGCTTCCAGGAGATGTTATTAGAGAATCGTTGGCAAAACAAAAACACCTCAACCTGAGAAAAAAACCAATGTCTCAAACACCTATACCTCTGTTTCTGACAGGCCATTTGATCCCCAAGGGAAAATCCTATAAACTAGCTATTTTCCTATCAAAGTTACTCTACAGAAGACTCCTAAACACATATATAACGTTCTTGGAAAACTAGTTGTTGAACTTGAAGGCCTTTTTTTAATTTGTCCCGCTAGTCTTGGATTGATTTCTTCATTCAACAACTTCTTCGTTTCACAAGCTTGCTCACCACCCACCTGTATTCGACCTATCCACGATTCTCCTTCAGATTTTCATATGTAATAATATTTTCCTGCACTAATTTAAATCACAAATATAAAGATGTATAACTTGTCGACCATATCACTCGAACTTACTATCTTCAGTATGTGTGGAGAAAGGGAAAGATCCAATAAATATAAAGACTTCAAAATTAAAGATTACGACAATTAAAATTCTAACAAAATATGCTGAGACTTTGCCTAGTCAAATGTGTACTGAGACTCCCACTCAGTTCTTGACAGTTTTGAGTTTTAAAGAAAAGGAAAGAAGTTGCAAAGAACAAAAGTTAACAGATAACTGGATAACAAAACAGAGAACAATATCCCTCTCCTCTGCTCCCCTTAGCTGGTCGCCTACTCATGCAACTACTCCTCGGCTCCTTGTTCCTGCCTCTCCCTCTCTAATGTTGCTGCTAGGGAATTGGTGACGTCAATGACATGTTCTGCTGTGAGGGTTAGTCAAGGACTTTTGAGGAAGAATCGGCTGGCTCCGGTTCATCATAGCCATGAACCCTCAGCGATCGGTAGGTACACACACATCCAAAATGCGAAAGACTGAAGAGAGGCAGAATTATCTTCAAGAGCGTAGCCGGCCAGATCCATGCCCACGCGTTCAAGAAATTTGGAGACAAGCGTGGCATAAGGCAAAGCCGTCCACCAGCTTTCCTGCCAAGGAGCAGCACTCAACAATTTCAGACACATGAGAGAGGAAACAATTTACCTTCTGTCCACGCTGAGCAATGACAAGGACGAACAGGTCAATCCTCTTAATGGTGTCATGGTTTCAAAATCGAGGAAGGAAGAAGTTAACCAGAAGCCAGTGTAGTAGTCGAAGCAGATCCGAAAGCGCCTCAACTTCAGAGTTCCCCTTTGTGAGCTTGAGAAGTTCCTCGTGAAAGTTGAAGCCATGAGATGCTAAGTCAAGCTCAGAACAAACGCTGAGACAATCGGAGGGCATATCAAGCATCTCAGCAAAATCTTCATGTTGGAAACAAAGACGCGCCCCAAAAATACCGACCTCGTTTAGGAGTCGCCAGGACCATCGACAGGTAGGTTGTGGTAGAACTTCCGAACCACCAGCAGGAAGTACCTGGTCAAATTTGGATTTCGGATGGAGAATTACTCTTCCCAATTGAGATTGGTGATCAAGGTCTTCACTTCAGCAGAAAAAGGGGATAGGGCATGAACTCATACTCGTACATGATGGTGGTATTTCTAGAAGAAGTAGAACTCAGCCTGCCCCATGACACTTCTGCAATCCAAATTGGACAATGTGAGGAGTGTTATTGGTTTTCTGCGATCTGTGTGGGTTTGGCCATACATTCTCGAAACTGAAAGAGAAGGAGAGGAGAAGTGGATGAGAAGAAGAGGAGTTATAATGAGCGACTAAATAGAGGAAAGAAATGATCAGGTTGTACAGAAGATGGGACGTTAAGGAATTAAAGGCAGAAGATCATTGGGGGGGGGGGGGGCGACGGAATGATCTCAATGAGGATATATTTTGTCAGAAACAGCAGTTGCCGTGCGCAATTACTAGGGGGTTAACACTTTGTGACGGTTAAGTTACTAATAATTACTAGGGGGTTAACACTTTGTGACGGTTAAGTTACTAATAATTGAGCAAATAATGTGTACCACAACATAAATTAAGCATGCCACAAATCTAATTAAGAATGCCATAAATTCTAAAATGCAATGAGGAGATATAAAGAATGATCTCAATGATAAGATATTGTGTCAGAATCCGTGGTTACCATGCAAAATTAACTCGGGGTTAACACAGTTAGACGGTTAACTTACCTTACTAATACTTATATATTTAGACTAACAATTTGAATTTGGCAATTAGTTGTTTTTTTTACTCATTAGCTTATAACGGCAGTGGGGTGAAGGGACTAGTTAATTCACTCTTTTCTTCTTCTTCTTCTTCTTCTTCTAGTATTGTCCCATGGAATATTTTCTGTTGCCCATATAATATGCTAGAAGTAAAGAGAGTTATATCTTCCTGTAGGGCCTGTTAATTTTTTGTGGCCCATATCACATGTAATTTAGCCCAATTAATTGGAACTACTACTTTGACTATTATATTTGATGGAGACTCAGATTGGTTAGAAAACCAAACATGGTAAAACCTTGTGAAAAACACAATCTACACCTCCAAAAAGTGATTTTTCAAATACACCTAGTCAAGCAAACCACCAATTTAAACTGCACATATTGATAGAATTCATCAATCTAAAGAATCACAACCTCCAAACGTCCCCTAACTATGTAAAAAAACAATGGAATGTGAGATTACCTGGCTCGTTTGCTTGTTGGATTTGAAAATGAGGATTTTGAGTTTTAAAAACCTTTGGATTTATGATGGATTGGTTGCATTGTGGATTTGGAAGATTACATTGTTTGTTTAGTTAATTTTGATCATGGATTTATGACGAATTTGTCTCACAACTTTGTCTTCCATTATCAAATCCCAAATGAAATGTGGGATTTGAAAATCTGTGGGGGTCCATGGATTTGGATATAAAAAAGGTTCCAAATTTGTGGGGCCCACGGATTTGTGTCCCTTAACAAACAATGGATTTGTGCCAAATCCTTGATACTTGAGATTTGGATGTCAAATTCATCAACCAAATCCCACAAG